AGAAACAATTAAACTGCATGTTGCAATTTCTTAAAATAGGACTTCCTAGTTTTGAGTTTCATCCAGCCTTCCAGTGGTTTTACAATATTATATATATGTCCTTCCTTCTCACACTGTTTCTCCTTTTAATTATTTTTTTCTTCTGCTTTTTTTCTTTTCCTTTTTTTTTTGAGGCAGAGTTTCACTCTTGTTGCCCAGCCTGGAGTGCAATGGTGCGATCTCGGCTCACCACAAACTTCACCTCCCGAGTTCAAGCAATTCTCCTGTCTCAGCCTCCTGAGTAGCTGGGATTACAGGCATGTACCACCACACCTGGCTAATTTTGTATTTTTAGTAGAGGCGAGTTTCTCCATGTTGGTCTGACTGGTCTCAAACTCTGGACCTCAGGTTTTCCGCCTGCCTCAGCCTCCCAAAGTGCTGGGATTACAGGCGTGAGCCACTGCACCTGGCCTTTTTTCTTTTTCTCATCAAATGGGTAATGTGCCAATGCCATAACAAGGTTGAGGGAGGCACATCTCACACAGGAACACGAAAACCCAGGCATGATGCTCATGAACTACAGAAGAATCACATTGTCCCAATGTTCACACTACTTTGAGGAGGCTGCCGTCTGCATGGAAAAGCTGGCCTAAGAAAGCTCTGTGTTAACCTTTCTGCTGACTTTGATAAGGGAAGCCAGACGTGATTAGTCAACTTGGGCTGCTGTAACAAAATAGTAGATATTTTGGGGAGAGTGTTTTAACAGAAATGTACTCACAGTTCTGGAGGCTGGAAGTCCAAGATCAAGGTGCCAGCAAGTAGGTTTCATTCTGAAGCCTCTTCTCTTGGCTCGTCGGCAGCCATTATCTTGCTGGGGGCTCACATGACCTCTTCTTTGCAATAGGAAAACAAACTCTCTGGTGTCTCTTTTAAAGATGCCAATCTCATGATGAAGGCCCCAGCCTCATGCGCTCATCTAACCCTAATTATCTCCAAAAGAAAATACTACCGTATTGGAAGTTAGAGCTTCATCATGTGAATTACGTAAATTAGAGGGGGATGGTGTGGCATACAATTCAGCCCACAGCATAGGGTCAGTTTCCCGGTATCGGCCTTTGGGGCAGCATCTTCAACTTCCAATCACATGATGTGAAATGACAACCAAGACCACAAGTTATGATTTAAACTCTGTGAAGTTTCTCTCTTACATTCCATGACTAGAAACAAGGAAGCATTTTAAAAATTATTACCCTAGTTTTATGCAGTCCTCTTAAAATACTTTATCAGAATAGTAGATAGCAGCATTCCTTTGTGTTTTGAAGCTTCCGCAGCATGGTTTTCTAAAGAAAAAGAGCTTCGGGCCGAGCATGGTGGCTCATGCTAGCACTTTGGGAGACTGAGCCAGGCGAATCCCAGCACTTTGGGAGACTGAGCCGGGCGAATCACCTGAGGTCAGGAGTTCAAGACTAGCCTGGCCAACATTGTGAAACCCCATGTCTACTAAAAATACAAAAGAAATTTAGCTAGGCACCTGTAATCCCAGCTACTCAGGAGGCTGAGGCGGGAGAATTGCTTGAACCCAGGAGGCAGAGGTTGCAGTGAGCCAAGATAGCACCATTGCATTCTAGCCTGGGCAGCAAGAGTGAAACTCCGTCTCAAAAACAGAAAAAAAATAAATAAATAAAGCTTCATAATAGATAAAGGAAGATGACAGTAATTTCCTCTTTGTCATGATCTAAAAACATCACAAAATGCTATATATTAAAATACATTAAAAATACATGATGACTTTCTTTCTACCCTTTGATATTTTCAATTATGAGCTATGATTCATAAGAATGCTCTGTCACTGGAAAAGCACAAAAATCAAATTTCACTGTGGCATGTTTATGATTGCTACTAGAAAAATATATGGTGTTGATTCTCTAGGTGATTCTTATTCCTTTGGTCTTTTTTTTTTTTTTTTTTTTCTCTTCCCTGTGTTGCTACAATGTTGATTGTAAAATCATTTACAACATAATAGTAAATAATGTCAGCTAACATTGGTGAATTCTTAACATGTGCCAGCAACTTGCCAAGTATTTTACATTCCCTCTCTTTTTTAATCCTCATGAAAAGCTCATGAGGTAGTATTGTTACCCATTAAACACAAGAAATATTAAACGTTAAGTACGTCTAATTGTTTACCTGCTCTTCATTCTCTAAGAAGGTAGATTCCTTGGAGGGTCCTTTGTTTTACTTGATGGGGTGCCGCTGGGGAGAAGAAGTGGAGAAGAGAAGAGAGAGAGAGAGAAGGTTAAATTAGAATAAAGAGATGGAGACCCTGAGAGGCTGGGGGAGGTGGGCAGATTAAGGGGTGGAAGAGGAGAGTAAAGAGAAAGTAAAGGCGAAGATGAGTTGCTGGGAGGAACCTGGCAAGGACTGGCAGGCTTAAGAGGAGGGGAAACTTTCATGGCCACAACAGAGGGGAGGTGGATTCAGAGAAACAGTGGATATTTGGAGAGGATTTTTCAATGTTCTGGTACATGAAGTATCACTTACTCTTTCTTCCGTATCTCCAGGAAAATCTCAGCATCGAATCTGCCATATTTTATCTAATCTAAGATAGGAATGACGTAAGATAGAATCGATGACATGATACTTCATTGTTGGGCATGGTAGTACACACCTGTAGTGCCAGTTACTCGGGAGGCCAAGAGAGGATGTTCGCACAGAGCCCAGCAGTTTTGGGATACGGTGCGCTATGCTGATTGGGTGACCACATTAAGTTTGGCTTCAATATGGTGACCTCTCAGGCACAAAGGACCACCAGGTTGTCTAAGGAAAGGTGAACCCAGGCTGGAAACAGCAGATCAAAATTCCCATGCTAATCAGTAGTGGGATTGTGCCTGTGAATAGACAGGCACCCCAGCCTGTAAAACAGTGAGACTCATCTCTTAAAAAAAAAAAAAAAAAAAAAAAAAAGGCGGTGTGCAGTGGCTCACACCTGTAATCCCAACACTTTGGGAGGCCAAGGTGGGTGAATCAAGAGGTCAAGAGATTTAAATCATTCTGGCCAACATGGTGAAACCCTGTCTCTACTAATAACACAAAAATTAGGCGTCGTGGTATGCACCTGTAGTCCCGGCTATTTGGGAGGCTGAGGCAGGAGAATAGCTTGAACTCAGGAGGCATGGGTTGCAGTGAGCTGAGAACGTGCCACTGCACTCCAGCCTGGTGACAGAGGAGCAAGCTCCATCTTAAAAAAAAAAAAAGACACATCATATTTTAGGAAGGGAGAAAGGTATGAAGAAAGAGAGTTACCAATTACAAGTGCCCATCAGTTGAAAATGTGTCCCAATTTCAAAGAAATACAATATACTTTAATCTTTTGACAGATTTATCTTTTTGTTTTGTTTTGTTTTGTTTTTTTGAGTTGGAGTTTCGCTCTTGTTACCCAGGCTGGAGTTCAATGGCACAATCTCGGCTCACCGCAACCTCCGCCTCCTGGGTTCAGGCAGTTCTCCTGCCTCAGCCTCCTGAGTAGCTGGGATTACAGGCACGCGCCACCATGCCCAGCTGATTTTCTGTATTTTTAGTAGAGATGGGGTTTCACCATGTTGACCAGGATGGTCTCGATCTCTTGACCTCGTGATCCACCCGCCTCGGCCTCCCAAA